ATAGGGTGCGTGCACTCGCCAGAAAGACAGAGAGAGACAGAGACAGAAAGTGAGAAATCACCTCCCAGGGGGGATGGCCACACCGCGATCCCTTTTCTTCCATTCTCTCATGATCTTGGGCATGCACGCACACGTGCCCGGCGTGAGTTTAAGCTACTGGGTCCGGGACTCAAACCGTGGTCAACTACATGGGAGTCCAGTGACATAGCCATTACGCCAACTGCTGGTCCCGACCCCAAACTCCTCGTCCCTTCTGGGTATCCTCGGGTACTCCCAGGGCACCCTGTCCTTGCTAGGTCTGGGATTGGTGCTCTCCTGCTCCGCCCAGCACTGCCCTCCATTTTCCAGCCAGCCCCCCACCCCCACCCCTGCCAGCCCCAGGGCTTCTACACTGGCCTTGGCCTCGAATGTGCATGAGGCCCTAGGGCAGGAGGGTCACCTCAGCCTCCATCCCCCACTCCTCATGGCTCCTCCTCTTTATTTCCAGAGCCTTCTGCAGTCAGCCTGGTCTTTTGCTCTGGGGATCTGCAGCAGTGTCCCCATCAGTAAAACTCGGGCCCCTGGGTGACAAAGGGGAGACTGGACAGGGGAGGAGGGCATCAGATCTTGGTAACAAGCCCTGCCTTCAGCTATGGGTGTGCTCTGGGCGAGGGGGCAGGGACAGGTTCTGCTCACTAAAGTCTTAGGAGACGTGTGGATGGTGGCACCTGTCAGCACTTCCGACCTGTCCCTGGGGAGAGGGACTGGCCCGTTGTGTTGGCTTCCTTGGCAAGGAGCCCCACCCAGCAGCCGGCTCAGGGCTTGTTTGAGAACAAGGCCAGCTGGCAGAGGCCACAGCCCCTGTCCCACGCCTGAACCCCCATGGCTTCTGCTCCTGGCTGCATGTCCTTTTGGAGGGCCAGGAGCCCTGGCTGTAGACTCGGCTGGAAAATCCTGCCCCGGTCCACCTTGAGAGTTTCTGCTGAACTGGGGACCAAATGTTTGATATGCACAGAAAGCTTGTTATGTACAGCAAAATAATGCGAGAAAAATTGAATCAAAGTATGAGTTTATTTTGGTGCAAAAAAAGTTTTAAAATCCATAATAGTTTTTTTTAATCAAACATTTTCCATGGACCTTGGCCCCTTCGGTGTTTACAGACGTGACTCAGCCTCAGGTCTTAGTCTGCCCCTCTTCACCAAGTTCGGCACTGTGGGAGCCCCTGACGCCACAAGAGGCCCAGGCAGCTGCCCTGCGGCGGGCTGTGAGGTTTGAGGAGTGCGTGCCAGCTCGGCTGCGCTGCTGGGCAGGCAGCCTGGTGCTCCATGCCCGGTGGCTCGGCTTCCCCTGGCTCTGCAACGCCGTCTACCCGGAACTGGAGCCTGACTCGCTTGCTCTTTGGCCTTAGAGCGCGCTGGAGAGACAGACAGTGAGAAGAAAAGTGAGAAGTCCCCAGGGCTGGTGGCCAGGCCACAGTCCCGTCTCCTCCTGGGATTTTGGGCACGCACAATTTCGCGCCTGGCATGAAATTCAAGCCACTGGGCCTAGGACTCAAACTGAGGGCGACCATGTAGGAGTCCAGCGACATAACTGTTATGCCATCTACTGGTCTCTCTTAGGAAGACATTCCAAACCTCTGGGCTTGCGCCCACCCCAGCCCCTTACTGCGCCTTGGCCCTGACACCTGCTGCCCGGGCTGTGGGCCTCTGTGAGAAAGGGCTGAAGTATCCTGAGAGCCTGGGACCTCCCAGCAGACACAGGCAAAGCCCCACCCACCAAGACGACAGGGGCGGGGGTTGTCGCAGGGCAGGGAAGAACCAGGAACAAGCCTGCTGGTGGAGTGAGTTGGCACGATCAGGGCAGAGCAGGTGGCGGCCCTCGCCAGTGCGTGGAAGGGACGGGCTGTGGTGAGGAGGCCTGGAAGCTGCCCCATCCAGACACCCACACCCAGGCAAGCTCCGCTCCTGGGCCTAGAGCTGGGGTCTGGAGGGGCTCTGTCCCCTGTGATCCTCAGTCACCTAGGGGGCCCAGAGCGGCTCAGCCTGAACCCCACAGCACCCACCTGGACACCGGAGCCCATACATGCAGCTCCACACGCCGCGGCCCAGGGCAGGGGTGGCTGGGAGCTGGGGAGCAGTGGGGACGGCTGCGGCGACCAGGCGTCCCGTGGTTGGCATGTCCCCGAGCTCTCAACACGGGTCTCTTCCGTGTTCCCCACTCTTTCATCTCAGTCCCCAGACCCCAGCTTGTGCCCCCACAGGCAGCCTAGTAACCCGTGTCACCTGGCAGGGCAGCTCGGCTCACCGCACCCCGGCTCCATTTCAAGGATGAGGACACGAGCTGGTCGCCTGTCCCAGGGTGTCAGGGCGGGGCCCTGGTGGTCTCCTGAGGCAGGCACCATGCTTTCCCTGGGGCCGGCCTGCTCTGAGTGGGGAGGGGGCAGGTGGACATGGCGGGAGGGCTGCTGTAGGGGCTCCCTGTGTTCCAGGGCGTGGGAGGGTTGTCGGCAGTGGGGGGCGGGCCAGGCGGCCGGAGCCAGGGCCTCTGTTGTCGGCAGTGGGGGGCAGGCCAGGCGGCCGGAGCCAGGGCCTCTGCTGGCTCTTGTTGCTCTTGGCCTGGGGAAACCCAGGGCCCTGGGGCAACTCTCTGCCCCCACCAGCGTCTGCTGTCACTGAGATGGGGCAGCAGGCAGTGGGGATCCCCCTTGTTATGACTGGTCATGGGACGCTGACTCACTGCCGCTGGACCACCTGACCCTGCGGTGGGAGGCTGCCGAGAGGGCCCTGCCAGGGGGTTCCCCAGCCACTGCCTTGTTTACCTCTGGCCCGGCAGGGGCAGGGCGAGGCTGCTCTAGGCAGCAGGGCATGCTGGGAAGGCCTGGGGCCTGCAGGTCCTCAGGGGCAGGGGTCTGTGAGCTCGCTTCCCAGGGCCCCACATCCCGGCACCCACTTCTTCCCGATCCTCACCACCTGTCTGTGACAGCCCACAGTTCCCAAAGAGGCCAAATGCAAAGAAGCCAAGGGGATCCGATGGCTGCTGGCGTGGTCTGCTCTGGCTGCTTCTGTGGGGAGGGGGTGCCCGAGCCCCCCAGAGCAGTGTTTCTGGGAGCTGGAGGCTCTCCTGTGCACCTCACCCCCTCGGATGGGGCCTGAAGCGGCCACAGCGGGAAGCTGGACTGCTGAGTCATTCTTGGCCTGCACCTGTGTTCAGGCCCAGCCTCTGTCCACCTCCACTGCCTCCCTGTCGGCAGGGCAGAGCCAGCATGCTGTGGGTCACCTCTCCAGGCCTGCCTGGGGGTGTCTGTCCTCTCTGCAGGCCTGCTCCTGCCTTCCTGGCTGTACTCCGGAGCCCTGGAGCCCCTTTCTCCCACTCGGGCAGTCCAGCCGACCCGGGGTCCCGCACCTGTGACCCAGCCCCTCTCCCTCGGGCAGTCCAGCTGACCTGGCCTGGTCTCCGAGCTTCCTCCCCCTGGAAATTCTTCCCACTTCCACACACTGCGCCTGGAGGGCCATGAGTCTGGCCCAGCAGGTCTTGGGAGGCCTCATAAGGCAGTTCAGCCCAGGCCTGGCCAACAGGGCACTGTGGTTGTGCAATGAATGGAGTTGTTTGTTTATTTATTGACAGAGTTTTTACACTTATAGGAGAGACAGAGAGAGGTGGAGAGACAAGAGACACAGAAAGTGAGAAATCGGTGGGGGTGGATGGCCTTGCCACAATCCCTTCCCCAGTCTCCTCTCGGCATTTTGGGCATGTATGCCCATGCGCCCAGAGTGAGTTTCAAGCCACCAGGTCCAGGACTCAAGGCAGTGGACCACATGGGAGTCCAGTGATATAACCGTTATTCCGTCTGCTGGTCCCTGCAATAGAGTTTTTCTGGGGGGCTGGGGTTTGGACCAGTGGCTGAGACCCTGGGTCCCTGGGCACCACCTGCTGAAGTGAAGCCTGCACCCACAGTGGAGTGTGGGAGGTGCCCAGGCAGTCTCCTGGGCTCTAGTCCTGGCCCTTCGGCAGGGAGGAGGGTGGGGGTCCCCAGCCCCTGCCCCATGTCCGTAAACTGGGACCTGAGTCAGGGCCCTGTCCAGTAGGGGCCCAGTGGTGGAGGGCTGCCCCCTGCAAAGCCAGGCCTGGAGAGTTCTGGACAGCACCCTGGGAGCCCTGGTGCCCCCTGGGGTCGGCCTCAGTGTGGCCCCAACCCCCTGCACTGGGCATCCCCGGCGGCCTGGGGACACACTTGCTGAGTCATGGCTGGGCCCAAGCCTGGGAGGGGCCTGGACCGGACCCCTGCCTGTCCCCCGCCAGGTCAGAGGCCAGGGACAAGACCAGATGTGGGTAGAGGGCCAGGGGTCGCCTCCTGCGGACCCGGAAGTCCCGAGGGCAAGGCAGAGGGGGGCGCCCGGGGAGTCCTTGGAAGAGTGTTTCTTTAGTCTTAGTTTGCTTTGAAAGTGTAGTGCATTCATAG